ATTCACATTAGTAATGAACCCATGAGATTATGGGAATGAATTCATGAGATTGCTTCTTTAACATATATGTTATCTATGCTGAATGAAATTGACTGTAATTGAATTTATGGCTTAAGATAAAAAATAGCTCATTTTTGTTGGGTAGGACGTCTGGATTGCGATGGAAATTAGAGATGCTAATCTAGAGTTTCAATGTCTATCTATATTTCAATTGTGATTGAAAGACAATTCAGAAACAATGGAGGCAAATATCAGAAGTCTCCCAATTATGTTACCAAAATTTCTCAGTTTTTCAATTTTCCCTGCTACCGCCCAGAGAGAACTGACAAGCTAAATGCGCATGAAGAAGTGCTAGGAGGGTCGCTATCCACTTGTGCTGCCACCGCTGCAATTCTCGGCAGCCCGTTATGTCCCTCCGGATCCTCTTCATCAATTGCCAACAAATCTACAACAATCATCTGGGTCTCCGGTGGCTCATCTACTGCAACACGCCCTTCAAGCATATCCACAACACAAGCCATGCTTGGTCTTAGCGCCGCCCTCTCTTGGATACACCACAAAGCCACAAAAACCATTCTCTTTAACTGCTTCTCGTCAACGCCGCCGGTTTCCAGCAGCCGATGATCGACGGCTTCCATTAACTTCCCTTCTTTTAATTTGTTCCTCACGATCTTCGGAAAGTACTGCCATTTCCTCTGAGCCTTGTCATTCCCCTGTTGAATCACGGTCACGTTTCTCCGCCCTCCGATCAACTCCAACAAGACCATTCCATAGCTGTAGATATCGGATTTCTCAGAAACGCCGTTCTCCAGGAGCCACTCCGGCGCCAAATACCCTTTAGTCCCCCGAATTGTTGTGACAACTCTGCTTTCATCTTTCCCCATCAGCTTCGAAAGTCCGAAATCCGCCACTATTGCTCTGTAATTCTCATCGAGCAGAATATTTTCTGGTTTCAAATCAAGATGCAATACCTTTGACCGGCAGTCGTGGTGTAGGTAAGAAAGCGCCTTGGCCACATCGATGGCGACTTTGTACCTCAAATCCCATGACAGGCAGCCGCCAGGGCGGTTTCTGGTGACCCTTGGGAAAATCCAGCAATCCAACGAACCATTTGGGATGAACTCGTAGACCAAGAACCGAGGTCCACCGGGAACAATACAGTACCCAAGAAGGCGGACGAGGTTCACATGCTGCACGCTGGCAATCGCCGCAACTTCGGATCGGAACTCCTTCTCCCCCCGCTCCTCGCCGGAGATCCTTTTCACGGCAACAGGAGTTCCATCAGTTAGTATACCTTTAAAGACAGCAGCCGAGGCTCCCCTGCCTAGCAGTGCCCTGAAATCGTCCGTTGCTTCTTCAATCTCCTTGTACCGGAACTTGGTCGGAACCCCAGCAACTTTCCGGAGAAAACTGTACTCTATCCGCAGCTCCTGACCTTCAGATACAATTTTCTTCTCTAACAATTTCCTCCGGCGATTGTTCCGTCCCCTGATTACCATACATGTGAATACTGCAAGGATTACTGCAATTCCTGCTCCTGCAATGAGGAAAAATGCCTTGGAAAGTTTCAGCAACACTCGAGCAACAATGATGAGGATAATCAGACCACTGATCGCCGAAACGGAGATTATGTTTGCTTTCCTATCCTCCATTAATAAAGCTTGAGTTCAAACGCAGGGAAAGAGTTGTTTTTGTGGGTTTCATTTGTTCTTTAGAATTAGAAGGAAAACAAATGGCAACCTTTCTTAGGAATAATTAATTCAAAGAGAGGAAACATTTTCAGCCTATAAATGTCAAGGCTTGGGGATTGGTTTTAATTTATATTGGATAAAAAGAAATAAACAATTAAAAAAAATTGCACCTACTTCGGGGCAGTTTTTCCTTATACCATTAATGTTCTTCATTTCCATCCCAAGCTTTTAAATGGTCAATGGTTTAGTTCTTATAGTAGAAGGGACAAGTTTTCTCCTCTTGCCGAACTACTCTCATTTCTGCATTTTCTTTTCTAATTTTCAAATATTGTTAGATGCGTTAGTGTATTCTTTTAATTGCATCTAAATGAATTATATAATTAAAAATAAATTTTATATTTTAAAGTTTAAATTTAAACTTTATAACGTCTCAAACATTATGATGTTTCTAACTAAAGTTCTAAGTGTGTTTCATTTTTTCTCCCTCATGATCTAATTGCGTTATTGATACACTGCTTTCTCTATAAATTTTATTAAATTTTGTTGCGTGGATGACTATAATAGGAGAGGGAAATAAGTTGACCAAGTCTTTGACCGGAAAAGGGGGATACCGCTTGTTGCTACACTGTAAATTCTTGAATCATTCAAAGAAATCTGATTTATCAAGCAAAAGTCAAGATTTAACTGAAACCAAGCAAAGTAATGATGATGCTACTAAGAAGACTTATTTAATCGTGACATCAACCAGTGTTTAGCAATTTGAGATACAAAATATATATATATATATATATATTATTATTTCCAGGAGAGGGAGACCCAGTCTGTGTTATCCATAAAATCATAATCAAAAGGCAAGTGAAATATGAGCGGAGCTGGACTGGTGGAGAATAAACCATACAGTTGGAGTTGAACAAAGCGATTGGGACATATAGAAATGTCATGTGTAAAATTAAGTAATTTGGGGCCATCACAAGACATGGAAATGGTGATGGTGATAAATCAAAATTCTACCATATATTTAATTCCCTGTTCTGCCTTCGTGGTTGAAGACAGTATTCTCAAACCAATGAATTTAATGCATGAAATGCAAATACAAAAGTGTTCTTTTATTCTTTTAACTTATTTATCATAACATTTGTATCTTGACCCTACCAATCCGCTGAGTTACAAAACGCCCTGCTAATAAGTACCAGGTAAAGCGTCACCATGAAAATTATTTGCAACCTATAATAGACTTGAATTTAAATTCTCAAACATAATTTGTTGCTAGTTGAATACCTAGTGTCATATAACGACACCTTATTGGTCCACATTACTTGTGAAATAGCTGACCTAGATAGAGTTAACCTCTTGAGTTTGGCTCAAGAAAGGCTCTTAGAGAATCCTTAGCAGAGCTATACCTACATACGAAGCTTCTATGGCAACCCCTTACTAATCCACATGGCCGTGGAATAGTTGACCTAGATAGAGCTAACTTCCTAAGTCTGGCTAAAGGAGGGCTTAATTTCATAGATAATCTACTAGAGCTATACCTAGATACAAAGCTCCTAAATTCCTAGTTGATGAGCTATTCCAGCCAAGTTGCGAAGTTGGTAAGCTCTTTAGGTATAGTTATGACACAGACTTAGCCACCAAGGCTAAGACAAAGACAAAGGTACAAAGGTACAAAGGTACAAAGGTACAAAAGATAAGGGGCCTACACTAGCAGAATGCATAAGTTTATCGATGACAAAGCACATCGATAAGTATGGGTATAATGTCGACATATCAAATTTCCCACTTGTAACACATTGGTAAATAGGTGTCCTCTTGGTAATCCGTGCAACAACATGACTTGATGTCACGTCGGTTGAATTTCTCCACATTACCAATATATATGACATTTGAAAATTAAACCACCGGAAAAGCACAATCCTAATTGTTCCAAAAATGTACCAATGTTTTATGGCTATTCTCTCATTGGTAAACTCTCATTGGTAAATTAATTGATGTGAGTAATGTTTGTATTATATTAATGCTAAACATTAAAATTTTGTTTAAAAATTCATTATTGACAAGATGTATGTCGGAATTGATTTTTTGGGATGAAGTACACAATGCACAGTCTACTAGTTTATCAACGTGCATAACGTTGGTAAGTGATTTTTCTAAAAAAAAAGATAAATCAGTTACTTCAATTGATACTTAAAATAATATTTTTTTATTCAATTCAATCTATAAACTATCAAATGTCAATTAATTTATAACTCTTAATATTGTGAAAAGCAAATATGATATCAAAATTTTACAATAAAAATAGAAAATTATTCAATCTATTTGCTCAAACTAATGATTAAAATATGATTGAAAAAATAAAGATAATAATGCAAATATAAGATATAATTGAATAGTATAATAAAAAAAATTAAAATTACCTGAATTAAAGATATGATATTTATAGAGCATCATTTCCTAAAAAAAAAGTAAAATATAAATTAATTTAATATTTACATATAAATTCAACCAAATAATACAATCAAATATGATTGAAATTAAATTTTAGTTTAGATGAATAAAGTTTATTTATCCAATCTTTATCTCCCAATGCTTACAACAAAACAACATTTAAAAAAGAAAATTAGAACTTCAAATAAATTGAATAGCTCAAATTAATATTTAATCAATTAGGAAAAAAAGAATAGAAAAGAAAAAGAAAGGATATTGAGAAGAAATAAACCAAAAATAACATAAATATAATGTAATTATAAACAAGAAAAAAATCAATAGCATTTAATAGACGAGAAAGATAAGGGAGAAAGAAGCAAGAAGAAAGAAGAAGAGGGAAAGAAAAAAAGAAAGGGTGATGGAGTTCTAGTATTATATAGAACCCTTTATTTACATGTATTACTTTTGGAATTAAATTTATTGATGTAATATACATAGGCATTAAATCAATTTTAGCAAGAGGGGAAAAATGACAAAAATTTGCATTTCTCTCCTTAAATTTACTGACAAGATACATGCTGGAAGGTGAAAAGTTGGCAATTAAAAATGGAAATGTCTTGCTTATTTTAGATAATCATCAATGAAATTTTTGTTGGAAATTTATACATGTATCAACATGGTACATGTTAGTCAAAAAAGGGGATATGTTATTGGAAATTTGTACATGTACTAACATTGTATAAGTTGGTGAAAAGATGGGATATGCAACACCTTAGTATCCTAAAGCAGCCTATGTCAATTTCTATTTTCTAGGTTTCATTCCCTTTTCATTCTTTTTTTTTTTTTTGAATTTGTTCGATAAGTTGGTTGCATTTCAGTCAATTTAGTGGGCATAAAGTCTAGAAAAAATTTGCTATAGTTTCTCCATAAATATGATAAAAGCCAATTTGTTTTAAATTTGCATTTGGAATGAAAAACACATATATTGCAACTTTGCCATACTAAAAACATGTATGCCTTTTCAACCACAACCCCAAAGTATCAACAACATAACATTGTCTTAAATACACATGATATTCAATTCATAATAACCCTCAAAATAGCCCAAACCTTCATACTTTTTAAAGTATGAACATTGGAGGTCAAGCAAAATATGAAAAGATATCAAAATGAAAAGCTAAAGCTAATAGTTAAAAGTATTAATAGAACTAAACACAACCATGCAAAGTGTGTAGACAATGTAGTAGTAAACATAACTAAGGAGCCTGATAGTTTGGATAAAAAACAAAAAGGTAAACATCATCTTGAGGTTGAAGTTGTTGATAATATCCAAGTAGTGTGGGAGAGGTTTAGGTGGAATCAGTGGAGCGGGCAAAAGTTATATTCGGGTAGAAACTTGAGCCCTAGTTATGTGGTAGTTATGGTGGGGCAAATGAATGATGACTTGCCTAAGGGTAGATGCTATAAGCAATGAGAGCTGCAATAATAAATTAAGCAATCGTCTGGCTTATGTTACTTTAAGTATGTGTCATATGAGCCAAGTATTGCCGCATCACTCATTTGTTGATGTTGCCTTTTAAACTCTTTATTTTGTTTCACCACAAGCTCATTCTAGTGCACTTACTTCTTGACAATCATTCATCATCATTGCAGTCATTAAGTTGTCACAAGGTTGTCTTTTCCTATAAATAAATCCAACATCCTCTGGATTTACTTGTGACTTAATACCTAGTATGAAATTGGAGAAGCAACCTCCAATAGTAATGCCCCCATTTCTAGTTATCTATGCATGACCATAAATGGACATCAAGGCCATAGGTCTCCATGCACTCTATGACATAAGTATCTTGGAAACCAAAAATAATAATAATAATAATAATTATTATTATTATTATAAATATAATATTGTTAAAGGTAGTTTAAAAATTATCTATACAAAAAAAGATTGCTAAACAATTTTAAATTAATTAAATAAAATTTTTAAGCACTTATAACTATATATTTATGATAATTTATATATTATATATACTTACATGTCATTGCTTTGCCTTTTCATTTATCCATGTTGGCTGTTGATCTTTTTGCAACTTCTTTTTGAAGGTATATGTCTCCTTGTATTTCTCCCAATAGGAAGATTGCACATCACCTTTAGATTTAGTTTGTATTTCAAAATAATTATAATACAATATATTTGTTAGTATAAATTAATATATAATGTATTGTTAAATAAAATGTAATATATTTGTTTATTAATTATGCTTAATTACCATTCGCATGTCATGGATGCTAATGCTAATAGACTCAATGGTGTGAGTCACCTTCTCTCAAGACGTCTCGTTCTTTGCTCCGATTTTACTGAGCATCTTGAATTCATCAAAGTTCTAATATTCCTACAACTAAGACCATATATGAGTTGAGATCCAACATGGGATGTAACTTGGATCCTCTTTCCACTTCAACCTCTAGTCTCTAATATTATCACTCCACTTATATTTTATAGAATTTAAGAACACATTGCGTACATGGAGAGTATTTGTAGAAAGCCACTGGTAAAGTGCCTACAAAACAAAATTGAATAACAATAGATTTGTGAAAAATAAAAATTCTAATTTAGCAATTAAATAATTTATTTTATTACATAAATTGTTTAATCCATTAATTTTATTAGATTTGCTAAACT